AGTTCCTCTGAGGATAACAGCTGGCGATAGACAACAGGAGATAACAGACCATTGCAGACACCTGGAGATGACAAACAGACAAACGCTCATCACTAATCTGTATCTTCAGCGCTAACCTTCGGAACTATAACCAGAAAAGAAGCCATTCCCTTTATCCATCTCTTCATCAGAAAATCTGTATCCCCAGATCTTCAGCCAATTTTGCCGATGTCTATCTGATGGGAGCCCGCACGAGCTCGGGCAGGTTTCCGTGGCCAGAACCTCGGAGATAAACAATTTAAACCGCGGTCGCCCCCAAGGGGTCATTAGGCTAAGCTCTTCTCAAAAGTAGATCACAAATGGACCAAACCTCCAAAATCTCTCCTCCTGCCTCTTATGCAACAGTTTAAGAAACCTCGGTTGACTCTCAAAACGTGTAACGCCTCTAAATAACTATTGGGTCAAACATCACTAGAATTAAAATTAGCCAATCGTAAACAAAACTGGAATCCTCTGTAGCCAACTAGAACAGAGGTGATAAACAACTACCAAAATTCGAAGAAGTTCAAACTTCTCTTCTAAGATGTCACCCCCCTTTCCCCCCAATGCAACCACAAGAATGTTTTCAATTGTAATTCAGTTAAACTTGCGACACCAGTAGATAATAAACATATCACACAGTTCTCTTCTTCATAAAGGCCGAAAGTACTTTCTCGCCTCCAAACCCGAAACACGTGTTCAACCACCCTCCCGAAAGAAGGGGAAGGAAACGCAGCTGGCCGCAAAGTGACTGCTTTTTGAGAACGGATGTAAAAACCTGCATCTTTTAGCTGTATCAGCTCTCTGCCAACCTAAAAGAGCTTTGCTATAATCGAACGAAAAGTTTAAACAAATACTATATGTTAAACATTAACTTTTAAATAAGAACATTTGAAATTCCTTATTCACAGTAAATTAATATAATCACCAAGAATTTCCTATTCACAGTAAAATAATAAATGATAATTGTACTGTCCGTCTATGGTAAGAACAGCTCTCGCCAGTTTGTCTGCAGCTGTTTGTTGCCGTAGAAACAAGCTCTAACCCATTTTTCGTAGGGGTGTCTTGAAGATTTACTTCTCAGTTTGCCACCTTGGTGCATTTAAAAATGATTTGACGATATTCACGTTTTGTTTTATTTTCAAATAAAATACTCGTTGACCCTTTGCGTCGACCTCTACATCCAATTTCCGAAAATGAAAATTCGATGGCGTAGATAAAGCTTTTGCAGTCAAGAAACGGTCTTTGATTTTGCCGTGTGAGGTACAAGTTGCTGAATTTGCCCTCCCTCTAGATGTACAATGAGTAAAAATATATCAAAATAACTTGTAAGAAAATTAATTTTAAAATTTTATTTTTGAAGAAAAATTTTAATTTTTACATTAAAAAAAATCATGCTATTATTTTGCTTCTTTTTTGTTTATTTGTTTGCTTGTAAAATCATAGATGACATCTTAGAATCAACCTGATTGCCCCATTCTCTGTAGTATAGTATAGACACACTTCATAAATGTAAAATAAATTAAATTTTTATAATTCTCCCCTCTGGCTAATCTACTGTGAACATTCAAAGCAATTTCTTCAGTCTTTAAATGACGTTCTGCTATGTTTTTATTTCAAAATTTTCTGTTAATTTATTGCTTGTGCTTTAATAATGAAGAAAAATTTCATCATTAAATATACATGGAATCATCTGAAAGTAAAAGCATTTATTTACATACCCATGCTCTCAATAAATACTTTTTGCGAACATTTCTTCTTTTTCCATACCTTCAAACTAAACCAAAAGCTGGTCAATTTAATGGCGAAAGGAAGTGAAGGTGAATAGAAATCAAAACTGCTTTTTCCTTAATTACCAGTGGTTTGTATGATTACGGAAAGCCTCCAGGGTTAAATGCCTAAGAGGAGGGATGCCTAAGAGGAGGGATCCCTTCTGCCTTAGGCATTCAACCCTGGAGGCTTTTGTAATCTAAGGGAAACTGGCTCGTATACACGTTACACATGGGGAAAAACGAAAATGCCCATGCAGCCAGCCCGTTCACGGGATTCAAACCTTGGGCCGAACTACCAGTGTTCAGTGACTTTACCGATCGGACGCTGCTGGGCCTCTTAATTAGCAGTGCCCATTTATGTATTATGCTGCTTTTTATAGACACTGTAATAGCTAGTAGCATAATAAAATGTTAAAATCAGAACAAAATTAAGGTCTCTTAAATTATTCAGTTACCTATTTAAATAACCTAAAATTATAGGAACTTTATATGATTATACAAAATTTGGCTTTTATAACTGCAGTGAGCTTTGTTGCATTAACATAATTTTGTATTAATATTTTCATAATAAAAACAAAACTTATTTAATTTTCATTAAAGATTAAAAATGATTTTTTAAATAAATTATACCATGGCTCGTGGGTCTCCAAGAACACAGTAATGGGAAATGAAGCAACCATGCAGTGTTCTTTATTATCCACAAGGGGGATTTTGCCTCTACCGAAGGCTCATTGTTGCCTACTTTGGTAGTCTTTCATTTACATAGTGACAAAGAAAATACTGAACGTAGAAATATCCTCATAACTTGAGAGCTATCAGATGAAGAAGGATGCCTTCGTGAGGACTTTTATAGAGGTATAAAAAGTCGTCTGAATCACTGTCGCAAGCTTCCATATCTTCTGAATCAGAATCGCTGCTGCCAGTTTGAATTATTAATTTATCCATTATTTCTTCTAGAAGTTCGTCCTTGTCCCAATAAGAATTTTCAAGTTTTTCTACGGGGTTGCAGTGCATCTGCCATTCTTGAACAGTGACTTCATACAATGCTTTTTGTGTTAAATTTTTCAAATTTTCCAAGTTTAATTCCCCAGTCACATTCCTTTCCCTGATCAGTCTTTTAACTGATGATAAACATATTCAATTGCGTTTAGACATGGAGAGATAACAGTGGTAAGGAGGGAGATGCACAGCATGATGCCAATTTTCTTTTATGATGTTGTCAATTTTATAGATTATTTCTTAGGACGATTGCATTCTATTAAGTTAAACAGTTCCGCTTTTCGCATTTTGGGATCGCAGCTTATCGTCTTCTTCATCAGCCAATTTATCATTGTTTGCTTTATTTACAGCATATTTCGTGGGTGTCGGATCTTCAATTTTTGTGTGATTCAGGGCATTATCCATGCATACCACACTTTGGGGTCGTAAATTTGGAAGAAGCTTTTCGAACACCCATTTTCAAAATTTCCATATATTTGCCCATGGTAATCCCCGTTTTGAGCTGATGCTTTATATACAAGTTGGGCACCTGGAATAAATCCTGCGGAAGAGCAACATTCAGTATATTTTTTGAACTGACATTTATCTGTGCGCCCAAAACCGTATCATGCTGCCAACATTTCTTAAAAGTTAAATTGCTGTCAATCCATTTTTCATCGATGTAAATGATGTGGCGTTCATTTGACCTGAGTTTCCTCATTTCGCATAAATAAATGTTTCTCCAAAATACAGTGTGAGGGCTTTCAATAAGAATTTTTCTTTTGTTAATGCATTTTTTCCAGCGAAAATTCATTGAACGCAAAACTTTGCACAAAGAGTCTCTTTGCCACTTGAAGTCTATTTTTTGCCTCAAGATAGGCAGTAATTTCCACACAGATGGCACTTTCTTTTCATTGATGTAAAAGTTCTTGTATTGTCTGCCGTATAACGCATTTGTCAAAATCGCCAATTTCGCACTTATGATTAGCAGGGCTTCTGCGTTTCTTTCCATGTGTATGTAGAAGTTATTTTCACTCATTGTTCATACTTCGCGCTTAATTTTTTTAATTGTATACTGCAATACTCCAGTAGCTTGCGATGTTCTCTTCAAAGCTTGAGGAAGAGGAACTAAGAGTTCGCTGAAGCTTCAGAAGCACAAAATTCTGCGACATTGTACACGATTTGACGTGCATGAGACTTTAAAGGTTGACCTTTCTTAAACTGGAAGGGCATTTTAAAAAATTGGCAATTAACAAAGCACTATGAAAATCAAACTAAATAAAAGCAAATTTGAACAAATATCAGTGCAAAAGATATAACAACGAGAATAAAAATAGCTAATAGTAATAATATAAGAAAAGATGCGTGGAACTGGAATGAAACCGAGAAGACGAATGATAAACTCTTTTCCCTTCAGCTAACAGTCGCCAAAAACAAAATAACAATAAAGCAACCCTTGGTTCGTCCCTATTTGAAATATCCTAGCCCTGTCGCTATAGCGACCGCCACCTGCCAGACACCGTGGCGGGAGCTGTTCTTACCCTAGATAGACAGTACACAACAAAAATAATTCATAACAATTTCATAACATTTCTGATTGTAGAGATGGTAAAACTTTCAATGCAGCAATTTGCTCACTCGTTTCCCTGCTTCTGAGCTTGTGCTTATTACTGTGATAGAGTTGCAGAATCTAGCTCTTTATAATATTCAAAAGTTAGGAGAATTTTGAGGACATGTGAATTTTCAAGTAAATAATTAATAGAAATAAGTCTCTTGGTATAAGGTACCTGCTTCTTTATGATACAAAGTTCCTCTTCTTTACTTTCAGTTACAGTTTTAGTGTTCTGTTCATAAATTTCAACCAAATGTAGGTAAGACAAATTTATTCTGGCTTTAAAAGTTTTTGAATGAAAGTGCAGCATGTGGATATGTTTGTGTAAGGTAATAAAATTGTAACTTCTGAAGAAGTGATCTTAAAAGATATAAGTTCCGACTATATAGCTTAGAATTCATTGTTGTTATATATCTAATATTAAGCATTCAGTATTTTGCCACTTAGAAATATTAAATGTGTTTGTTGAGCATTTTCTTTTTTTTATTTAACAGCCAAACCTTCATTTTTAATTGTTATCTGTGTTTTACTTTGTAATACTTATTGTATACAGAGTTTTCAAAATTTCATTTTTAAAAATGTTGAAATGCATTTCTTATTATTTTTCTGTATTTTTCCAGTCTCCTTCTCACTCTGATGAAAATCATCCTTCAGAATCACCACTGTACAATGAAACTTCAGATATGGATGTCACTGCAGTGCAAGATACCTCTGATAACTTGTTTGGCCCCCCGCCAAAGAAGATAAAGGTTTCCGAACAAATATCTTCCAATTCATCTGAATCTCAAGGTGAATTTCTACTGAAATGTATTTAATTTTCTAATAAAAGAGAAGGAGACTTATTTTCATTTTTGTAGTTTTCCGTAATAATTAATTAAAGTCAATGCTTTTATTTTCTTTCCATTCATAATTTTTTTTAAAACTATTGAGAACATTTATAAAAGTTTTTTTAAAACTTAATACATGATTAAATAATATTAAAGATTTAAAATACATATGTAGTGTATTGCATAAGATAACTATTTCCTTTTAATTTCTCTTGACCAATGATATGTGTTGTTATTCTGAGTTTTTGCTGTTTATTTAAATTATTCTTATATGTAATGAAGGTAACGGGCAACTTCATAATTTTGTAATCTCATTAGCCAAATAGTTACTGTAAAACGAGATACTTACTTGAGGCACCAGTAAAGTATACTAAGTATAAACTCAGCATTAAATAATTATTTTGTGTGTTGGGGTTTCTAGAATAATGGCTAATTGTTGTATGTCACTTGCATTTTGTTCACTTAAGAGAAATACTGATCGCAAACATTTGTAAAAAAACTAATTTTTTGATTAATTTATTGTGTTTGTATTTTCTTCTTTTATATTTTATTTATTTTTTATTTATTTGAAAATGCAATGTATATTTTATGAATAGTTGAATTTTTTAAAATATTTTTCTGCTTATTTCAGAATCATCCGAAGAATCCATCCATACTGTAACTCATCATTCACCTTGCCCTTCTCGCTCTCCATCACCTGCATCAACTCCCTCTCCAAGTAATTCTGCTGATGAGTTGGACCTTGCAAAAGATGTATGTTAAAACAGCTTTTATGAAATAGTTACGAACAAAGTTAAAAAGAAAATATATGTATATATATGTTATCTTAAAGAAAAGTGTATATAAAAAATAGTATCTTAAACCTAATGTGGAGGGTATAAACATTAAAGCAACTGTTCCCACCAGGAGTTAGTTAGTTGAAACACAGAACATTAGTATGTAGACCCGGACTCATTGAGACTTTGTTGATCGAAAAAATGAAGCATTTTTGATCTAAAGAGTATCAGAATTTGGGGGGGGGGGAGGAAAACTTAATACTTATATGTTTACTTTATTTAACATTTCGTTCAATGTAAGTTGTTTAAGCTGCTTTGTTTTTTGTGTTAATCATTTCTCTTTAATTCTTTAGACATAATTTCTTGTTCAGTTACTAAGTTCCATTGTTCGAGTTCTGTAATTGCTGTGTTGAGAATTCTGACTAACTTGTCAATCGAAATTTTTTCTTTTTCAATAATCTCTCTGTCACTTTCTTCACTATCAGTAACGGTATTTTCTGGATCTAGAACCATGCTACAGATTTTGCCATTGTTATCAAAATGAAAAACTTCTGTTAACTCTTCTTCTTCCCTAAATTCTGCTGCCTGGTGTGGCCATATGAGCTCTGGTGGCAGTTCTGGCTTTATGTGAATAAATAATGCTATTCTTAATTCAAATAGCACTAAATGCAATCTTTTGGCTTATGAGTATCATTAACAGAATCTATTTTTAGCATATGGAAAGAAATTTTTGTTAAATCTTACTTTGTCAACATTTTAGTGCATGTAACTTAAATTTGTAATCAGATAATGCTCTTTGTTATTCAGTTACTAATGTAAAAAAAAATTGTTTATGCATCGCTGCATAAGTCGTCACTCAACTAGTCATGTGTTAATTAACATGTGATGAAGAAAGCAAAAGAAAATAATGATTCGCCAGGTTGGCATCAAGGATATAAAATATTCGCCAGGTTGGCATCAAGGATATAAAATATTCGCCAGGTTGGTGTCAAGGATGTAAATTATTTGTTGGCGTAAAATTAAGGTTTCTATGTAGAATGTTTCAGTCTGAGATGTATGCCAAGCAGATATGCAGCTACGGAGTCAAATTATTGATCATACAGATTTATGCTAAAAGGATTATTTCTTCAGTAATGAGGTATTTTATTTATTGTCGAAATGAGATTACGAATTGGGACTCTCCACATATTTTATTATTAGGCTGGAGGAAAAATCAAATGTGCATGTGTAAAGCATGACCCCCCCCCAAAAAAAAGATCTTTAAAAAATTTGTTTGGTGGTTGTTTTGAGGTGCGGATTTTAGATCATTCCGGATATTGGACGTCCGGATCCTGAATTTTGTACTGTATTTTGGACTTTATTCATGATAGCGGAATAGTCTGGCTATACATTTTATTGTTTCCTTCCGTCTGTAATGTAAATATGAGCCAACTTCTGATTGCAAGTCTTTCATAAGGATATGCTTATTGTTCTGGTGATAAGCTGAACTTCTTTAAGATTCATAACAATTTTACTGATTATTACTAGAATGTTTGCCTTGTAGTGATCACCAGGAAAGTATGAAAAATAATTTCATTTGGAAAAACAGATATATTTTTTTTAAATCTCTAGATTGCTAAAATTATTGTAATGCAAAAGTGTATAAGGAAGGAAAAAAACTCTTTTTCAGATATCTGACATATGTATACTATACGTTAAAACCCTTTTTTTTTTTAGTATTTTGTTAATAATGTATTTAGTGTGTTGTTGATTAATTTAATATCATTGAGTTTATTGGGCAATTTAAGAAATGCATTTAAAAAGTTTTTTAATTGAATTATTTTTGAGGGGCTGTATATTTCATCAGTTTGCGTGTTGTTTTAGAAATTGACGTATGAATTTTTTCTTTCAGACTGATACGATGGTTTCATCTGTGATTCCAATTTCCTTATCAATTACTGTCGTTCAGACTACTGTAAGTGTTCAATTAGCTGTTGATTTAGTTTATCATAAATACCAGTATTATCCTTATTCCCTTTTCTGTGCTTACTGGCAGGATGACAGATGATTTCTTTGTTGAAAGTGTTGCATTGCATTGCAAATTATTTGGGAGAAATTAATTACAGGCTTTCATGTTTCTGCGAATTGCTGCAGGAATTCAAAGATCTTACTTGATCAGTTTTGGACCAAGAACCAAGGCATTTTGTTACAGAATACCTTCGCAAATAAATGCAATTACCTCCACATTATTGCTAATAAAAAGTTAAATAACCAAGAATGAGTATTTTTTAAGGAAAAATGAAAGAAAGCCATTGAAGTCAGGAGATTGATAAGGAGTCCTCTTTGTTGGATGTAGGTGTTTAACTACTTGTTATTAGCCACAATAGAAGGGCGGTTAGCCAGACATTGTGACGCACACACAGCCCAGGAGGAGAAAGACAAGGCAATCGGCACGAGATTGGCGTGGATGGTTGCTATGATGACGAAACAACTGATGGAAAGAAGCATGACTCCCTCTGAGCTGGTCTTTGGGTAAGGTTTCGGTTTGTAACAAAGCAATAGCTAAGAAAGAGCCTTGGAATGGCCGGGGAAGGGGAGAGGTCATTCACCTAAGAAAGATAAACAATATTGAAAGCGCGCAGAGAGGAATTGTTAGTTTTTACTCTGCAGGGTTTGTAATCAATAATGAATGCAAGTTAAGAATCAGAAGTAAACTTACAAGAGCTATTTCGTTTTCAGAGTCTGATTGGTTTCTAAAGGAAAGCTTTGGGGAAAATCTGCTTGGTCTGTGTGCAGACATATTGCACATTGTCTCCAGTTGGCCTGGGGAATGTTTCGATTCACACTTGTCATTTCTGAGTATGCAGGGAGCACCTAAGCATGCTTCAAAAAATACGGTCTCCCGCCAAATGTGAATTGTGTTCAGTCATTTGATTTCTGAAGGATAGATGAGTGAGTAAAGTGTATGGAGAAATGTTCAAGAGTGACAACAAAGTGCGGAAATGGTGCAGGAACTTTGAAGCTGGATGCACAAATGTTCATGATGAAGGCGTCCAGGGAAGGAAGCCAGTGTCATCCGATGATCTTGTTCAGTGCGTGGATCAGGCGATTCGCGGAAATTGTCGGTTCACAATTTCTGATTTGTTATTTGTTTCCTGAAATTTCACGGTCAGCTCTCTATAGCATTGTGAGTGAAAGACTCGAGTACTGCAAACTCTGTGCGAGGTGGGTTCCCAAGATGCTGTTTGACCACCACAAAACTCGGCAATCGGGTGCTGCATTAACCTACCTCCAGCGCTACCATCAGGATAGAGATGAGTTTTTAGACAAATTTGTCACAGGAGATGAGACATGGATGCATTATGTAACTGAAGAAACAAAAGAGCGATCGAAACAGTGGATGCAAACTCCCCAGGTCGTAAGCCAGTAAAGTTCAAGCGCATGTTCTCCTCCAAAAAGTGTATGGCTACAGTGTTTTGGGACCGAAAAGATGTTCTCTTGGTGGAATTCATGCCCCGCTGCACAACTCACGAAGCTCACAAAGTCTGCCAAAATGCCATTTCACATGAAAATACTTGTACAAAATAAGCACCTTTCGAAAGCCTTAGCTGTGTCAAAATAAATGATAGCAGTAGGCTTTCCATTAGAAGCACATGCATGATTGATTTGCACTACTGTCAGTAGGTGGGCCTGAGTAGAGTGTTTAGCACGAAAGCCAAATTGTTGAGGAATAATAATATTTCGACTTCAGTAGAAATCATTCAGGTATATAAACAATGTAGCTTCGTAAATTTTACTAAGACAGGAGGCTGATCTGTCTGTAATTTTGGGGGACCTTAGGGTTCTGTCCAGATCAGTTTTGTGCAAGAAGGCAATCATAGTTATTCGTAGTCTGAATTAGGTATCTACTATAAATTTGTTAAATTAAAATTACTCATGAACATTCAGGAGAATATCTCTTACAGATTCTGTTTACAATAATCTTTAGGGACAAGAATGACAAGTATATGTATGCTTTGTGGCATAACTTCTAAATAGCTACCATTTCCTGATTACTTTGGTTTAAAGTAGATTGAATTAAACATATATGGGAAATGTTTGTATACTTGAAAAGTTACTAATATTGGGGCATTTAAGAATAAGGAAAGCAAAGCACTTTAACTTATGCTTTACTTATCTGTTATTAACAATATTTCTGTGAAATGTCAGAAAAAGTTCAGAAGGAAAAATATTATATGCATCCTTAGTATTTATCTATTGTGCTGCCTTCACTTTACTTTCCCTTGATATATAACCTGAATTGTTCTGGAAATGTCTCAGGTGCTTCTTAATTTTTTTTTTTTTTTTTTTTTTTGTTTTTGTTTTGGAGCATTTTGATTCTGCTTTGAATGTGGGCAATGGAATTAAATCATTTTCTGTTCATTTATATATTAGTTTTGGAGCAGAGAGAAGCATAATAGGATTAGAGGTATGTCTTTGTTATAGTGTCTCCCAACCATATTCATATGGTTCTTCTAATATGCTTTCATGGCCCATTTTTGGTTTTTTGGTCCACTTACTAGTTGTCAAAATCTGAGCATGGAACCTGGTAAATGGTGCTCTTCTGCAAGTACTGATGTCAGTTTGTTTAAGGATTCACAGAATGAATTCAAAGATACCATGAATAAAGAGTAAATGATTCTAGAAGTACAAGGTTATCCAAATTAAACTTCCCCAACTCAGAGGCCTGTGCAGAGTGTTGTATGGGTCATAATGTGATGAAATTTTAAAAACAGACACTTCAGATCATGCGCTTGAGATTTATTACAAAAAAAAAAAAAAATTAGTGGAAGACAGCTTTGCACAGGCAGTTGTTTCCAGCTCGCTGATGCACAATGGCGACTTTGAAAGACAAAGCTCTGTTAGTGAAACTTTTCTACCAAAATGACGAGAACTCCTGTGCTGCGATAAGAGCATTCCGTCGGCTGAAGATCTTACGCCGAGGACCGCGCTCTACGAGACATGATGAAGAAGTTCGAAAGAACGGGACAGCTGGGAATTTAACCAGGTAGAGGACAACAGGTTGTGGAATCTGCGCGCATAGAAGACGTTGCTTTGGTGGTCATGGACCCCACTAGCCAATCGCCACAGGGTGTTGTCAGTGTGCCAACTATTCTCGTGCTGTTGATATGCCCTATACGACCGTCTGGCGTGTGATGCGTCGAATCCTCGGTTATTTTCCTTACAAAATCCATAGTCGTCATCAGCTGTCCGACGGGGATCCTGTAGTTCGGGAAACATTTGCGTTGCAGTTCCTTGCCAGAATGGAAGTCGATGCTGCTTGGCCGTGGAACATCCTTTGGACGGATGAGGCCCATTTTCACCTGAATGGTCAAGTGAATACGCACAACTGCCGCATTTGGGCAAGTGAAAACCCGCGCGCAATCCATCAAGTGCCCTTGAACCTTCCAAAGGTTACTGTATGGTGCGGTTTCACTGCAACATTCGTCATTGGGCCTTATTTTTTTGAAGAGGTGACTCCAACAGGGTTCAAAACCTGCTCTGTCACAGGAAAACGGTATCAGGACATGTTGACAACGTTTGTGATCTGCAGCAACATGGCTGTCTCCAGGACACAATATTTATGTAGAATGGTGCACTTCCCCATATTCTTCGTGGTGTTCAACAGGTGTTACGGGCAACTTTTACCGATGCACGTGTGATCAGCCGCTGTTTCCCTACAGCTTGGCCTTCCCCGCTCGCCTGATCTCACGCCATGCGACTTTTGGTTATGGGGATTCTTAAAGGATCGAGTCTACCGAGAACACCCAGCAACCTTGGCATATTTGAAAGACACAATTATTCGACATTTGTTCGTGGAATTAATGTGGACTTACTGCATTCCTCTGTGGAACACACTGCTTTGCGAATGGAAAGAGTTGTGGAGAACCACGGCACACATATAATTACGGAACTTGGCTTTCGCCACACATTAGAGTTTTGCCGCATGATGTGGATGACACACAACGGTACCGGCACACACATAGAACATCTATAGAATGTCTTGTTGATCTGCAGCGCCACGTATCGGCAACTTCTTGTACTAATTTTTTTTTTTTTTTTGTTTAATGAATCTCAAGCACATGATCTAAAGTGTCTGTTTTTAAAATTTCATCACATTATGACCCATACAACACTCTGCATAGGCCTCTGAGTTGGAAAGTTTAATTTGGATAACCCTGTATATGTTGCCTTATCATGGGCAATACTCAGCAGAATTGTAGACTATAAAAGGATAATGTATGTATTCAGATTTTATTTAATTTGATTGTTAAGTCCATGGCATCCAGGTAGCTAGATGACAATGAAGCAGAACATAATTCTACTTTAGTCACCATTGGATAAAATGCCTCTGAATGAAATGTGATGTTATTAGATTCAACAGTAGCTGATATCTATTAATTTAAGTACAGAGATCCCTCTGTAACGAGAAGGTTTACATTATGTTATTCACACACGTTTTTTTATTGTTTTGTTGTTAAATTATTACAAATGAATACATTATTCAATATCTGAGGGCAAGACAACAGTAACTTATAATAATGTAACTTCTTCTTATTTGGGGGAGGGAAGAAGATGTAGACATGATATGCAAACTTTCATTTTGTCCATTTACATTTTGTATATATTTATTAGCAGCAGATCATTTATGATTATTTTTAACTATTGCGGTTATTTGCAGTTATTGTATACTTTAAAAGAAATTTAAAACTTTGATCCCCCTTTTTGAGAAACAAATAAGTTTTGGATTACTACTTTTTATTTATTTATTTTTGTTTTGTTTTGTGTGTGTGGTTAAATTCGTAGAGTCTATCGATATCTAAAGTTATATTTCTTGTCTACTCAAAACATATTTCTTTTGTAGAAAAGAAATTTTGTGATACAATGATATAATAAAATAAGCATTTCATATTTTATTGAAATTACTAGATTTAACGTCAGTTAATCAAATGGCGTGATTTTTTAACTGTTTTTAATATCAGTAGTTGTTTTAATCAGGTACTTAGTATACTTTATTTTGTAAATGATTTATTAAAATACTTGTTACAATTTTTTTTAATATCAAAATGCAGATTTAAATATAATATCCCTCATTATTGAATAAATAAGTACATTTTGAATATCCTAAGTATGAAATACGGAACAATTTTTTATATTGGGAGATATATCTTATAGTGTTTTTATCTGAAGTGTTATTACTATATATGTAATTGAAATGTATATTGAAATTCAAATTAACTAAAAAAAAAGTAAGGAATATATATTTATTGTATTTTTCCCCCCCAACAGGCACCAAGCCAAAGTTTAGTCCCACCTATTACTATTCGATCAGTCCCTATTATTCGCTCTAATGGTGGTAAAAAGAATTCAAATCGAAATGATGGTGGCATTAATTTAGAACGCTCCTACCAAATATGCAAAGCTGCTCTGGAATCTACCTGTAAAAAAGATCCAATTCCCAGTGGAGAGCGAACACAAATCCAACCTCGAACAAGTGATGTTGTATGTATGGTAACCTCATATGTTGCTTCTCCAGAAAATTGTGTGTTAAATGATAAGTTAGAGGACACATCTTCTGTGAACCAAAGTCAGAAGTTAGACGATTCTAAAATAGAAGCTGTTGTAACAATGCAAGATGTTCAGTCATCTTCAAAAGAGTTGCTGCTAACAACATGTCCGCCTTCTGCTATTCCTACCCCTGAGCTTAATTCTATTTCTTCAAACCTTAACCTGCTAGAAACCTCTAACATATGCACTAATGCTGATAACATATGCACTAATGCCGAAGTTTCTTCTGCTGAGGTTGATTCAGTAGACAGCAGTTCAGAAAACAGTCTTTCATTGGCTAAAGCTGAATCGGATTCATCTGAAGCTGCTTGTCCAGTTGTGGAGTCTACACTTACTGAAGAATCTGAGATGATTCCTGGGTCTTCTGTTCCTAACAAATCAGCAGATTTGTTAGAATCACTGGCTGCATCTCCTGAACCTTTGTCTGTTGGTCCAGAAGACCATGTTGTTTCACTTGCAGATAACTTGACTGTTGATCAGGAACTTAAATCTTCCACAAATATTTGTTCAACAGATCGCTCCCCAACTTCTAAATGTGATTCTGTGGAAGAAGACAGTGTTGAAAATACCTTACCCACAATTGAAGAAGCTGTTGTACCACCTTCAGATATAATAAATAATAATGAAAAGCCCGAAACTAATGTTTCTAGTACCTTGTTGCTAGAAAATGATCTGAATTCTTTACCTTCTGAATGCCTTGATTCTGATTCATCAAGCATGCAGCAACCCTATAATGTAAGTCCCCCCTTTGCTTTTGTTTGCTCTGTTATAACCTGATAATATCTCTAAAACTTTCTCAGGCATAATACTTCATTGCCTGCTTAATTAATAACAGTTATGTATTTAAATAGCTATTGATAAATGATAATATGTCTAAAGTTACTCTAAATTTTTATATGATTAATTTTCTGTGTTATTGCCATAAAACTTAATAATTTATGTAATGCTTTTGTTTGTAATATTATAACCTAGGTAACTGTTGTATGATTCTTTCCATTTGGAGATAAGTTTTTGATGTTGAAATATTCATTCCGTGTGTGAGATATAAAATTTAGCAATGGTTATAATTCATCTGTAACAAAAATGGTTGTTGTTATTCTTGACATATTTGTTTTGTGTAGGGGATATAAAATTTAGCAATTGTCTTAATTTATAAATAGGAAGAGTGATTATGCAACAACTGTTTTCAAATAGTGATTAGATAGATCTCTTAATTGGCAATTTTATTTCTGCATGATTGGCATGAATTATGAATGATACTAAAATACATAACTATATTCTTGGGATAGGGGTTGTATTTATCTAAATCATGTTATTTAGCATTCAGCTGTCTTTTAAGAAAAGAAATTATGTTTTTCAATAAATTGTAAAAAATTATTCGAGAAGAAGTTGGCCTAAGTTACAAGTCGCTTAATAATTTTCATAATATATTGTGGCTTAAGGGTAATAGTTACATTGTATTTCCATAAAATCAGTTTTTATCGCCATACTATTTTTCAAATATATAGGATTTGAAGAAATTTGAATGTGCCTTTTTTTTTTTTTTAAGTTCCTGCAAAAAAAAAAAAAAAAAGGTTAGGAAGAAAAGACCTTTTGTGATATTTTTGCTAGTATATATGTAGTTAATATATGTAGCTTGCTCATGCACATACATATAAACAAAATATGATATTATTATGGTACCTAAAGAATCAAAGTTCACTATTAAAAATGGTATTCTAAACGAATCCTTCCACTGTGATGAAAATTGATGCATGTAATGCACATAATTAAAAAAAAAAAGGGGGGGAGCAATAATGAGTTCACAGTAGTCTGGCTGTTAATTTGGGTCGTAATCATTCTTGTTTAGATGCAGTTGATTACCCAGCTTAATGTAGGCATGGATATATCAATAATTTGCTTGGTAGTTGTCAGCATTCAGAGATGGGCATAGGCATACCATATCATACACCAGGCATATCCCAGCCAGCACGAGAATAAAGTTTGTATGTGTTGAGAGGTGTGAAGTTGGAGGGTCATGCTAATCAAGGTTTGACATTGAAATAATGGTGGCAAAATAGTGACTGAGCCATGTTCATGTGAAAATGAACTGTTGAACATTTATTGGTTTCTAATAAATAAGAGGCTAAACTTTTCAGTGCAATCCCTTTTTTCTCTCCCTTTTAACATCCTCACTTGCTTGTCATTCCCTTTAATAAATGTCTTTTGAATTCCCATAATTTCTTAGTTTTAGTAAACGTATTTGATGATCATCTTCACTCATGATTTAGAAGAACTAAACTGTGCACCTGTCTAAAGAAGTTGTAGTGAAAAGTGAAGGTGTCTCTATGTGTTAGTTAGGACACTTAAAAGCAAATGTAGTTCAAAGGGCTATTACTGTTTCAGAGGAAGTGAAAGTCACTGGGACCTCCCCTTCCAATTGAAAACAGGGTTCAGTTTTTAAGACTGCAGTTAAGCTTGTTTGGTGTTGTCACAGTAAAAATCAAACCCAACCATATGTCTGTCATATCATTCAAAACATTAAAGTTTCTTTTTGTTAAATATTAAAAAAAATTGTTGCATAAATTTCATAATGCAAAACATTTATCGAGTATTTTGCATTGGTTATTAAAAAATCTTCTAACCTATTCCCTCATCACCCCTTCAGTTGCTGTAGCTTCATTTTTGGGAATTCCATAATTTTAATAAATAAAAATCATAGGATGATGCATTGCAGTCCAGAGCTATTATATATCAACCTGAGTTACACTAAATTTTTTTCTTGCTATAATGTATTTTTAGTTGCTTCTCTGTCCAAGGAACAAAATTCCAGATGAGAAAAAAGCATATCCTTTTTTTTTATGCAATTTCCAATGCACTTATGATGAAGTGCCGAGTTTTTCAGATCAACTGAAATTCTAGTTGGAGTTTTTAGTTTATTTTTCAAAAGAGCTGTATATTTAGCAAAAGACCCTTGCTAAATTCTAGTTATACTGTACTTTGAAAACAGTATGCTAGTGCAGTAGTAAATTTCTTTCATTATGCTTTCTGTCTTTGCTTTATTATGAAGTGATCATTATAGTACCTAACAAACTGTCATCCATTTCCTGCCATGAGCAAATCAATCCGTTTGCGATGAAATAGAGCATTTTGTTATCTATAAAACAGCTGTCTAATTCAATCAGATTAAGTTCCCTATAAATATTATAAAAGCTGCAACATAACTAGTCAAAGAAAAATAAAACTTAATTATAATAACAAGTTATAAGGTATTTCTCCCGCTTTCTTAGCGTGCCTTTGTGGTGTAGTGGTTCTGCACGCTGGGCTGGTATTTCAGTGGTCCGTGGTTCGATTCCCGGTGATTGCTAATTTTTCATCTTGCCTGCTTCCAAAAAATATCTAATGCCTCTACAAAGTTCTTGTGATGTTAGAATGATTAGTGAATGCTGATGTTGCATGTAGCTTAGGATGCAGGCTTAGGTTCCAAAACTTGCATAACTGAATATCCCCTCCCTCATTATATTGTTATTAGTGGATACTTGACTTCATATATTGCTAAATCTAGCTCAGATCCTAGACAGTGCATAGATGTGTATGACTGTAGTGTCATTGTGGAACAGAACATTTTAAGTCTTTCAATCTAAAGCTTCTTTCAAGAGACTATTACTAGGGAGAGACGAGTATCAGGCTTCCATATTTCATACTTGTGGGCTATTCTCAAATATGGTATATTGGTTAATGGAGGCTAATATCACAAGTAACTAGGCTCAGGTTCTACAACCCTTTATAAACCAAGTCATGTCGTCCATGGTATAGTGACCAATAGAGGGGGCTTTACTCAGTATTAAGCAACTTTGAATTCTGGAAATGCGTAGATGTTTGTTTAGTTGCAGAATGCACCATTGAAAATCTGTGAATACAAAGAGATTAAGAGTTTGGTGCTAGGAATAGAGGAATGCAGTCCTTTCAAAATTTCAAATTTCATCCAATCTGGTATCACCAGTCTTGGAATGGTGATAGCTTCATTTCAAGCAAATGGCCTTTCTATGGTGTAGTGGTTGTGTGCTAATTAAATAATTAAAACCAAATCATACTTTTACATCTGTACATGTAGATACATAATACACATACATGTAGTGAGAATAGTATAATATATGTAGTGATGTAATGGAAAATACACAAACTCATTTCATATTCAGAGATACTGATATCTTTTTAAAACAAAGAAACATCTAAACATGGTTATGCAAGAATATAAATGCAATATTTATCCTATGTAAAAGGGGGGAAAAAGTTCTTTGTATTTGTTTGCTCACTGAGGTCATAAGAGACATTTAATGACTTATATAATGAATGATATAAAAGAGAAATTACAGAAAATATTTATCTTTCCTCAATCATTTATCAATAAATTGCCAACTGGATAATATTATTACAGATTCAAATTGGATTGAATGCACATAGAATGATGAAAGCTTGATTAAATTTATCTTCAGATAACACTTTGCTGTTTTGTAACTTTCCTCACAAAAGCACTAGTACAACACTTTTAAGAATGATTGAGCACAGTCAGCAGTTAACCCTTTGGACTACTAAGAATATTGAATACAAGGCAATATAAAGATCCTCAACTTGCACGGAGATCTTTCAGTACTCTGAGCTAAAACTGAAAACTCATGCTGCCTCTGGTCTTACGTAGTTTTCCTCTGTCTGCTAAAAAACTTTCAGTACCTTCGATTTATTAAAACTGCTGGAAAGCATGCACATTTACATAGGGATTTGATCAAAATGTCACCAAATGGTTGCCAAGCTTGGAAACTTCTGGCAATTTATCACCAAATTTGGCAACAAAAATTAGTTGCCAAAATTGTTGCCAGCTTGACGCTATCTGGCCAAAGCCATTTACCTCAATGTTAAGTGGACTTATCCCTGTAGCTCTATTTTCTGATGATGCTTCATGTTACATTATACAAGAGATACTACAATAAGAAAATCTTCCAAAAAATATCGTTTTCAAACCAGATATTTTTTAGGCATTATAATACACTCATGTCCGTAAATTAAGGATAATTTGGAGTCGCTTGGAAATCGAACTCTAAAATAAATATATCACCTGTAAAATCACTACACACATCTTCAAGAATCCGGTGGTTCAGGAGTGCTCCTTTAGGTGGAATTATACTGGGTTCCAGAACTGACCTGCATGTTCAAATTGGAACCATGACAAGCCAAATCTATCGGGATGTCATTCTGGAGCAACATACGTTTGTTTCGGGGTGCACAATTTGTGTTTATGGATGACAACGCCCGTCCTCACCGTGCAAACATCGTAAGCGAATGCCTTCAATCGGAGGATATCACCCGTATGGACTGACCAGCATTCTCACCGGACTTGAATCCAGTAGAGCATGTGTGGGACATGCTTGGCCGACGAGTTGCAGCCCGTCAACCTCCTCCTACATGTCTACTGGAACTTCGGAGAGCATTGTATTTTGAGTGGTGTATTATCCCCCAAGATCAGATCGATAATTTGGTACTCAGCATGCCTAGGCATTGTGGGGACTGTATTGCATCGTCTGGGAGACATACAATGTATTAGCAATCATACCAACCATGTAATATTGGTTTATTGTAAATAGGTATTTTTTGTAATTTGCTCTAGGGAGAAAAAACATCACTAATTTTTTTAATAATATCAAACATATAGCATCTTTTCTTGCTCTTTACCTTTTGTTTAATAAATAAGCTTTACAAATAAGTCAAATTTGTTTTGCTTCTAACTGTTCCTTTGCCTGATTTTGCATTATCCTTAATTTATGGACATGAGTGTAAATTATTTAATATAGATTGAAATGGTGGAAACTAATAATGTTAGCCAGGCTGTGGGTTTTTTTTTTTATTTATTTCTATTATTGAGATGTTTATCAATCATTTAGTATATTAATTGCTCCAAATAAAGAAAAGGAAAAGAGTAGTGTAGATAAAAGCAAAATTGGTAGTTTAATTTGAAGCTTTCTATTTCTGTTTTTATCTATTCTTTGGGTCTTTACTTTTTGAAACTTTTATAATGTTGTTCCACTTCTGAAGAATAATTTTTTTATGGAAGAACCTTCCTGATTTATATCTGAGAAAATCGTTGAAGAATTTAGGAATTTTTGTAAGAATTTGTAGCAAAACCTTCAGGATTCATCTGCATTTTGCAGGATGATTTTCTAAGGGAAAACCGGCTTATATTTGCATTCCTCATTGCACTAGGAGTGCCACAGAAACTACCAGGCAATCTTTAGAACTTCACTTTGCACCTAGAAGACTTTCTTTCCATTTTCTTTGTATTTCATATAAGCATTTGCTGATGGACATCATTTCAGTGCTTATCTATATCTTTTGAAACTTAAGTATTGCATTTTTACTAAAATTAAAGGTCAACCACCTCCTCCTATATATTTTGTTTTCCCATTTGAGCTCTATTTTTAGATGTTTAATAAAGGCCCTTCCTTACCTTAGTGAAGAGTTGTACTGTATTCGGTCTCTATCTCTTAAATAAATATTTAACATGGAAAGAGAAAATCTGGAGCTGAGTATTCTTGTCAGCAGCTCACTTGGCAGACCAGATTGTTCCCAGATGTAGAATGATGGGACTGGTTTGCATTTTTCAAGAGATGTGCTGAGACATTTGCAGTTTCTTTTAATTGAATTATGTACCCTGACCTCCAGAATCTTTATGGTACATAAATAGCTTTTTAGACTGTTGTCTCTTCTGCTAGGAGTTTTATAGCATAGGATTTTTTTAGCTTAGTTACTAGAAGTAATAGCAGTAAGGGTTTATAGCTGAACTCTGTTTCCTTTTTTCTTTTGTGTGAAAAACTTTTTTCTTTTGTGTGCTTTGAAGTCAAATTTTCCCTTTTCCCTGTGGTATTCTATTTACATTTGATAGATTCTATTTTTTTCAGCTGTAGTTTGGTATAAACTGGATTACTTTTCTTTGTAAATAACATTAGTAATGCAAAGGTAACGTTAATTTTGCTTTGATTAAAATTTTAGGGGAAGGGGCTATAAAAAAATTTTGCTTTGATTAAAATTTTAGGGGAAGGGGCTATAAAAAAAATTTTTTTTGAGATCTGCATTTGCTATTTTTATTGCTCAAGTTAATTCTCACTCAGTGCACATTTTGTGATTTTACTTGTAATATCTATGCACTGATAATCTGCTAGAAATATGAAAGTTTTTTTTATATTATCAACTGAAGAAATATTGATTTGGTAAGATATATGTGTTGCGAGTTTCATTTTCTGACAGTACTGTCACATGTGCAGTTGTGTGCTTCGGATGTTAATAATTCTGTATTTTATATTTGGTATTATTGATACCTAAAATTATTACACTAGCAGAGAAGTAGATTTGCTTGTTTAGATAGTGTGATAAATATGGGAAAACATCATTAGAAAATTTAAATGCAAGCAGACTTATGTTGAGGAATATTTAAACTAGTTTTGTTGTTCTGAAATTTACTATAATGACTTTTAAACAGGAAGTGCTGTTTCATTATTGTTTTATTTAATTTCTTGCAACATCTTCATGAAAATATTGTTTTAACATTAATATACAGTGGAACCTCTCATGCAACCACATCCCATAAACTAAAATGGTCACTGTTTAAAGGTGTTAATAAATCATTACTGAACATCTGTTCTGTAACATGAACATCACTTACAGGAGGTGAAATTAATTTCTAATCACTAATAGTGGTATTATGGAGGTTTCACCGTATACTCATATATTTCATTGTATATTATTCTTGTTATATATTAGCACTGAGCCACATACTCTTGTCTATTTCTGTCTTTACCAAAATATTCCTAAAAATTAAGAAATTTAAGAATAATATTTAAGGCTTTTTGTGTATAACTTATTATGCTCTGTAAAGCCTTATTAGTAAATTCTAGATAGTTTTATTACTTCTCTCCTTTTACTGAGCTTACATTTTTACACAGGCTTTCAATGTATGGAAAGTGCTCTGTGATCCGGATATTGAATGGCTACCACATTTTGCTGATTTGTGGTTTAAGGAATCGTGGTAAAAAATCAGTATGTAAATAAATCTATGCGAAAAGTTGAAGCTTTTCCAAGCCCTTCTTCCCAAATTTTTGAAATATGAACTATCTTTTCTGCCCTGTGCTCAGTGTCTAAAATATACAAGGTGCACCTGATAGAATGCATTACTTGAATCCTATGATGATTTACTTAACTTAGTTTTTCACCCTCAGAATTCTCAGGTTGTAGATGAAGACAGCACAATCATCCTTAGTTTACCATCCAGTGAGGAAGAAAATGTAACATCTGATGCTCCAAATATTACTGTGGAAAGTATGCCTGAGAAAGAATTGCCTACTGATGATGCTGATAGCAAGCTGTCTGTTGAGGACTCGAACAATTCATGTTCTAATTCGCAGATTTCAGCCATTGAAGAGAAGCAAGACAATTTTGAAACAGAAAGTACTGATGGAAAATTAGGTAGTGATGAACTCTCTTGTGAAAAAAGTCAGTCACCATGTCCCAGTGAGAAAGCAACATGTCCTGAGTCTCCAGCCTATGGAGGTGAAAATTGTGTGAAAGAATGTGTTGCTAAAGTGCAGTTTGATCCCCCGTCTCGTCCTCTAAGTGCTCCATCTAACTTTCCTCCAATGCATGTCAACTCTGTTATTGAAGTAAGCTCTTTAAAAAGGCCAGCAAGTTGTCAGTCATATTATAGAAGTGCAAAGGTATCCCCTATAGTTTATTTTGATTCCCCGGAAAGTGATGATGCAAAATCTGACAGTGATAAAGGAGATAAAGTTCCCACCTCATCTCCTCAGAGCTCAGATGTTGGTTTGATACCATATTCTTCATCTGCAAGTGCAGCAGTGAACATCAGTTCTTCCATAAAAAAGGAGCATCCAGTTTCTGTTAGTAAAAGTTTGAACTGTGCAGGTCAGATGCCTGTAGAATTCAATGATAAGAATTCTTCTTGTAACAAACAGGTATCACAAGCTCAAGATTATACAGCACCTCCTGGGAGAAGCTTATCCTTAAGCCGATCAGCTTCAACTCCGTCTAATACATCATCTATGCAATGTTTGTCTCCTGTTGTCCATCGTCCATTATCAAATCCTAGTGTGGATACCAGTGTCATGCACCAAATAAGTAAAATGAGCAGCTCTGAGTATCAGACTTGTGTTCCTGTTACAAATCCTCTTTCTTTACCAGAAGGATGCACAGGTGGAACTGGTGGAAGTCTACCCAGTCAAGCAGTGTCTGTTGTACCAGCCACGACACAACTTCCCATTGCTTCTGGTGGCATAATGTTTCCATCTGCCAATGGACTTACAAATGTTGTTGGAACTCCAGCAGGTGACACACCTCCCAGATCTCTTTTGCTGTCGAGTCCTGTAATAAACGGTGCATCATCTGGTATTGAAGGAGCTGTTACCAGTGCAGGAGGTGATAGTGGTGGTGATGGAAATGGTACTTCAGGTAATGGAAATAACTGTGCATGTAATCTCAAAGCCATGGTCACGTGTCTTAAGTGTGGAGCATTCTGCCATGATGACTGCATTGGGCCATCTCGTCTCTGTGTCACTTGCTTGATACGGTGACCTAGCTTTGTAAATGTATAAATATATATGAAAAAATTGGCTTCTAACTGAGTTTGTTGGTACTGAATTTATTTTAAGTTTATTCATCTCATTACCTGTTTATAGTGTTATAGATATCAGCTTTATATAAATTCAGAGGTACTGTGTGTGCTTGTACAAAAATGGAATACAAAAATCAGTTATAGATGTCATATAAAATATGGTTAATGTTGAAATTTTCAAAAAAAAAAAAAAAAAATTCAGATCCTTAAAAATGAACCATGAATGTTGTGTAAATTTTATATTAGTTGCACAAGATATCTTCTCACATTTTTTTAAAGGAAAAAAATTAAAATGTTACCCAATTTTAATATTTAACTGCAGTTTAAGTATAGATTTAAACTGATATAAATTGTCAGTGTGTACATTTTGTAAGATATACAATTTTTTTATTTGATATAACATTATAAATTAAATTTATAATTTTTCTCTTCTAATACTTAAATGTTTTAGCACTATTTTTTATGCTGTAAAATATATTATTCCATAAGATTCACTTATTTAGTCTGTTAATACACTGGTAAAATTTGATCTTTATATATATATATAAATATAAATTCTAGAGAAGGACACTGAAATAATTTTATGCAGATTTAATTTATAAATGTAAGATAATGATATTTTTTTTTGAAAATTATCTTTAATATTCCTCATTACTTGTGTACTTTTGAATTTTATCTGAAATTATGGCACTTTGATTTATACAAATGTATTACTGAATAGTTTATAAACTGTAATAGATTAGCTTACATAAATAGTGTAAATAAAATGGATTAGACGTTTTAAAACAATTTTTGTTATGTAACCAAAATTTAAAGCCTGGATGAAAATAACTAAGAAAATTTTGATTATTAAATTTTTCTTAGCACGTAAAGATTTTAAAAAATGTGTTTATAAAATGCACATATTGTTTTGAAACCAAAATTGTATTTGCACTGTTAGTTGTGTATATCATCAGTGAAAATGAGAAGATAATTTCCATTTTTTGTATTATATCATTATTTCAAATGTAAAAATACAAATTATGAGAGTTAAAGAGTATTTTGTGGATTAAAACCATCAAAAATGAAAAGCATTATTGTTTAAGATATAAAAATATTTTATTAAAATTGCATTGTTCTTTGTAAATAACATTTGATGTTTAATGTTCACTAATGAAGTTATACAAATGATTTTGCATCAGATTCAAGTATTAAATAATTACCTTTTTACACCCAATTCTGCTTTTGTACATTAGATAGTGTCCCCCCCCCCCCCCCAACAGAAAGCCATAAAAGAGAGGAGATTGATTCCAGATACAGAAATGCAGTGTATACATTTAAAAAAAAAAAAAAAAAAAAAAATCAAATGAATCACATCAGAATCTTTAATTAAATCTTTTTTTTTTTTTTTTTTTTTTTTTTTTTGAAAACATGCAAATGACCATAAATTTATAGTAGAAGTTCTTGAACAAATCATATTAGAATTTTGAATAAAATCTTAGTAGTATGTATTTTTTTAAATTTTAAAAACTCAAGTATGCTTATAAAATTATCCTTCACAAAGAAAAACATACTTCACCAGCTTTGAAGTAAAAATATTGTACAAAAAACCATATATTAATGGACCCTTCATTCATGTTTAACTTAATTCATTCATGTTTAATTTAAACTTAATTCATTCGGGTACTTTCTTTTTCTTCAGAATAAAATTTTTAATGTTGTTTCCTGAAGTATGCTTTCTTACTTAACCTACATTTTTTATTGCATTTTGATGATCAAGCTAATTGTTTCATTCACTTAACTTGCTTAGTTATCATGAAATTAGTTTTTTAATGCATTTAAACTAACAAATTAAAGCAATGCATTATATCCAAAAGAAGGATATTTTAAAAAAAAAAAAAAAAAATTTTTTTTATTTTGTTGATGGAAAAATGTACATTTTCTAAATTAAAATTGCTAAAAAAAAAAACTGAATGTTAGTTGTCATTGAAACTTTTTTAGCAAATTATTCATAAATGCATTAAATTAATTTCATATAATTTGAAAATTATAATGCATTAAATTATTGCTATATATTATAAATGCAAAGTTGAAGTTTTTTTTTTTGGAGGGGAGGCTTAGGTGGGTATAAGAATATTTTTCAGTAATTCAGCAATATTTCAGTAGACATTTGAAAAAGGGACATTTGAGTTGCATTAGATCAAAGTAAATCATGTGAAGTCATGAAGAAATATAGAGAATTGAACATTGTTTCTAAAATCATTTAGATCAAATTTAGGCTCTAAAATCATGTTATATCAAAATTAGGCAAAAGCATTCCACATAAAAACAGAGTTGGGTGTATTTTTTTACTGCATCCTGTTTTTATACAAAATGTTTTGTATAAAATACAAATAAGTTTTTCTAAAATGAGCAATTTTAAATTTTTATAGTTACAAATGTATTGCATTATAACTTCCATATTTCAGTGACCTTATTTAAGCAAAATAGCTACTTATAGTGCTTTTTTTATTTATTAACTACCTTATTAAAAATTAATTAAATAAAATTCATCAGGTAATTATTTTTTAATTTGGATACCAGGTAAAGTGTATGAGCGTAAAAGTATGATTTCATAAAACCTAATTAGAGGCATGAAAAGGGATTGACAAGGATGTAAAGCATATTAGAAATATTTCTTTGTTCAAATACTAGACAATTTTACATGACTAATTTTGTTCAGAATTATCAGAACTATTAGTACATTTCTAGCAGGTTTCAGTTTTTCACATGATAGTTTAGTTATCATTTTAAGCATATCTTAATATTTCTGGAAATTGTTTTGTGCAGTGTGTATCGATTCATATTATACAGTTTCCTGAGATGAGTCAGGCGTAAGCATTTAATTTATAGTAATTAAAATTGAAAGTTTCCAGTTAAATTTGTATGTATTTGAATTATTCAGGTCCTCTTTTTGAGAAACTTAGCTATGTGTGTATCAGTATTTTTGCAAATAATTTGTTGGTACTTTTCTTTTTATTAAAATGGTATTAATATAATTATCTGCCATTAAATTTAAGAAACTGATTGTTTTCAAAGCTGAATTTTAACTATGTTATATTTTATTCAAAATTTATCAGCAATTTATTCACAGTGGTTCTCTATTTTATATAGGCTGTGGTAATTATTGAGTATTTTTGTCATAACTCACAATTTTTAAATAATTATATAATAACATTAATCACTTTATTTTATTAATGATATTGTGAATTTGAAGTGATGTTTATTTAATGGGTAATTTATCAGATCCGTAGGCAGGTGTGAATTAAAAATTGTGAGTGAAAGTTTAGTTTATTGGTTTTAAGCAAAACAAAAGTAAAATTTTGTTGGTGGAAATTTTTTAAATCATTATAAATATACGTGTAAAATAACACAACATTCTTTTATATGTTCTTAAAATAATATTTGAAAAGTAAATTAAGTAGTTAAAAATCAGTATTTAAAAATAGGTAGTCGAGGATATATTTCTCAAATATTTCCCCATTTTGTACACGAACAAAAAGCTGAAATCTGAAAGCACACAGTGATCTTTGGAACGTCTTTTAAAATATTAGATCTGGATTTTTTGAAGAAAAATATTTGAGGTTGTAACAAGAAGAAAATACAACATGCATATTAGTAGATGAGGGTTCTCAGTAAGATACAGTGGTGATCTTGTGTGAAAAACTGTATATTACATAACGTTGCTTTCAGAGTTTCCTATTTTTATATATAAAGCACATTAAGCCTTGTACTTAATCATAAAATATTTAATCTCTAAAGAAGAAATAGTTAAAGGTTCATTTAAAAACAATGCCTCCCCCCACACACTTAAGCCTTATGCTATATATGTGTTTAATAGCTGTTATTCTTCTTTAAATCCATGGAAATATGTGAAATTTCTGTGCCATATATGAATCATTAGTTTATCTCCTGAAAAGTCTATGAATATGGAGAAGTTTGTTACTTTAATAATGTCAAACTGATACTTTGGTCTGTAGTTAGGGAACCATTCAGTGCAGTAAATATATGCATTGAAAATTTGACAGCATCACATTAAGCATGTAGCAATGTTTTTTAAATACTGAAGTCTGGAAATATGTATCAATATTATTTGTAAATTTTCTACATTTTCCTGTCAATTCCATATCAGTTCTCTGTAGTTCCCCTCCTTTCTCTTTTTATGAGATATATTTGCTTTTAAGTAATGTTTTACTGTTGCCAATATACTGTTGCTAAAAATTAACTCTGCGATTTTCAGGTTTTACTGTATCTATAAAGGTGCCAAGAAAAAAGTACTTCTTAAGAAAAAGGAATAGAAAATTGAAAAATGTAAAATTTTAGCAGGAGAAACAATTAATTTGAATGTATGTTTTATTTTTTTAAAAGTTATTATTTTCATATAAAGTAGAGAATATCATTACATTTTAGTTCTTAGAGAATTGCATATGAATTAACAGAACTTGATGTTTTTATTTGAAAATTCAAGCATACATTTTAGATTGCAGGATTGACCAGCGTAGGTATATTTCGGTTTTTGCATCAATCATTCATGTATCTGATTTTGCCATCAAATAATATTGAAATATTGACATAAGGAGAACCAGTGCTTCCCAAACTTCTGAGTATCTGTGAGGGTGTCATATGTTAATATAAAATACAATCCTTGTAAATATTAAATCATGAATGGTTGAATTTTATAATAGTGTAATGGAAAGTAATTTATCTTGGAAAACATTTTGAACAATTTGCTAGACTACGACAATCATTAAAAATGCATGCGTATGGGACGATTAATCTAAAATCTGAAGCAGAAAATATATGTTTTGATATTACATATATTTATAAGAATTTAAATAATTTTTGTACTTATATAAACACATATAATTTCTATTTTGCATTATTACAGTAATGTTTACCATTAAGGAAGGATGTAATTTATCCTCTATTACATGCACACTGCATAGCTGCCAACTCTCAAAACTCACTCTTTTTAATTTTTCATTTCTTTCTGAGGAAAGTGTTTCCCCTGTAAATGCAATATATTGAATTAGTGAAATTTAAACTATGGAAATTTCATTCCTCAATCTCTAGTGATCTTCAGCATAATTTTTCTTATATAATTAATTTTATTTGAGTTGTCTTAATTTGATCTAGACATTTGTAGAACATTTTGTGAACATTCAACAAATGTGAAGCAGTTAATATTTGTATTTACTTTTGTGTTGCATTATAATCAATGATGCATTACTAAACTTATTCTCACAATAATTTGTTAATTTATTATGAATTTTATTTTCATCATATTTAAAAGTGATAAAAACTTTTTTTCTCTGTTATGATTTTTTATTTATTTATTTATTTATTTTATTTTTTTTTTTTTCCAATGTAAAAGTATAAGAAAATTTCAAAGGAAATAAGGGGGAGCATAAAATTTAGGAAAATCTAATTAAATATTAATATATATTGCATCATTAAAGTATTATAAATGAATTTATCAGTTCATAGGTTTTTTTTTTGGGGGGGGAGGGTTGTCACCATGCAGCATGAAAAGCTCCCAAAAACTTCTGCTTTTTGTATTTTAAGATTGGCAGTTGTGACACTGAATAAAAGCACTTGAAACACAATCTTGGGAAACACTGCTTAAAATGTCAGGTAAAATAACATTTAAAAATAAAATTCCATGTATACACAGCACAATTCCTTTTTTTTTTTTTTTTTTTTTTTTTTTTTTTGGGTAGGAGGGGATGTAGACATTTAATAATCCTGTAATCTTTATGCAAAATTAAATATTACACTTTTTATATTATTTGATTGTATAGTATGTAAATAAAGGCTGTAAAAAATCAAAGAAATCAAAACAAAGCAATCATACATTTAAAAGATACTTATTTATGCACAGTAAAATTTATGTGTTAGATGGGCAGAAAAAAAAAAGGAATTTATTGGCAGGTACTTAATGGCCTTTTTTGTGAGAGTAGTTACAATGCTAATGTTTTCAGCTCTTTCAGGTGAATTGAAGCATTCTACAAATTCACTAATATAGTATTCTTTTGTTATTTGGTAGCACACATTGCTACTATATCTCCAAGACATAAATTTTCCAGAATATTTTTACTTGGTATTATATGATGATTTGTATAGAGTAAAATCAGTAGATTCATGTTTCATTAAAGAAAAGATTGATTTCAGAAATTAAATCTGTAAAGATCAGTTGTAAAACAGTATAATCTGTATAGATGAGTTATATTTCATTTCTTACAGGAATGATATATTGAATTGTTTCTTATTTAATCTAAAAGCAAAATTTGCTTTGAAATTTTTATGTTTTTGTCAAACTCAAT